GTTTTGATTGATTCACTGTATTGTCTGTGTCCTCTGACTGGCTAGAGTGATTACTTTGGTTTTGGTTTTAAGACACTCAATTGAAAACCGCTCTAAACCTACAGTGAAACAAATTCTATTTTTTTTCTTTCTGCGCTATACATTGTAACCAAACAAACTTGTTGGATAAACCTCATCATGACTGTTAAGAGTCCAGCGAGTGCTGCTACCTCCGGGGACTTTTAATTAACAAAAAAGACAACTCTTGCACCTCTTGCATGCCTGTGTTTGGTTCAGTTGGGAAAAACTCAAATCCTTTTATCAGAGTAATTTTCTATTTCATGCATTGCCAAGTTCTCTCTTCTTCTAATAAAATTCTGTCTTCTAAACTGGGGTGTAGTGGCTTGTCTGACATGTAGTTTATGACATTTGTCATGTCTCTGTGGTAACTCTAATAAGTATAATTTCATCACAGAAAGTGCCATGGAATTTACTCGCACACCAGATGATCCTACCTACGTTCTAAAAGGACAAAATGCTGCATTGATCTGGGAATACCGTGTTGATGATAAACAGAAGGAGCTGAAGGGTATTGTTTGGAGTGTTGTAGACAAAGTAACTGGGATACCTATCATCATGCTTTTAGAGAAAAAATCTGGTGATAGAAGTGAGGCTGGTGGTATACCCCTAGCTTATAAAGGAAGAGTATCTATTATGGAACAAACCACCCTTGTCATTGAGAATGTAACACTAAATGACAGCGCAACCTTCAGTTGTACTCTCAAAGCAGAAGTCGGTTCAGGTTTAATTGATGAGGACTATCCTGTACAGCTTATTGTAACAGGTATGTGTATATTTGTGAGGAAATTATTTATTTTTATGAAGTGATAATTCAAAGCTGTCGCTGACTTTTGAAGAACGCAGAGAAAGCAAAGAAGAAGCCTAGATAGGGATTTTGAAAATCTTTGACATTTATTTAAGTTTAATATAAGTTCAGGGTTTTCCTTCGTGTTTACTTCCGGCAACCGGCGATTTTCACCGCCTGTAAACGGCACTGTCGCAGCAACTAGTTATGATCTAAGACTTAATCCTTATTAAGAATTGGTGTTCAAAAAATGTTAAACCCAACCCTAGTGGCACGCATGAAAAATAAGTGAATAAGGCTTCTTTCTCCGTAAGAAATCGATACTCACTGACTGACTTGTATTGCCAAATTGAAAATAGAAAGTGTGTGCTGCAAGGCAGGCAGGCATTTTGTTGTGTGCATTGGCGCGTGACGACTATTAAGTCACACATTGGTTCGCAATCACAGAGAAGAGCCTGATATTCAAGATAGATAATTTCATATATTGAAGTACTTACAAATACACCAAATGAATGTAACTGATTAGAACACCTTTTGGTCATCTTAAATGCATGGTTGGAGATCTAGACTGCCTCGAAGACGAGAGTAGCATCTGTATTATCAATATTTGAAGTGCAAACACAACAGACCACAGGAGGTTTATTAAGGGCCAGGCACTGGGCAAATT